AGAGAGAGAGAGAGAGAGAGAGAGAGAGAGAGAGAGAGAGAGAGAGATTGAGAGAGAGAGAGAGAGATTGAGCGATACAAGTTTGGTTGTCACGTACCTGTGAAGACCGCCGTGCAGTCCAGCGAAGAGGAAGGAGGCGGCCATAGCCACGAAGCTCGACCACAGAGTAACGAAGAAAGGTGAAAGAGAGGACAGAGGGAGAGGCCGAGAAGGCGAGGGAACCATAGCCGAGGAGGTGAAGGGAGCGACGAGCCAAAAAAAAAAAAAAAAGAGAAAGAGAAGACAACCGGGTAAAAGAAGAAAGAGGCAAGGAAGGAGAAAGCAAGGAGAAGGGTGGTGAGGAAGGAGAAGCCTGCAGCCACAACCAACCGAAAGAGTTGCCCTGGAGAGTTGACCGGGCGTTGACCGGAGTTGACCGGGGGTTGACTGCAGCGTTGACCAGGGCGTTGACCGAGACTGCTAACCACGAATTTGACCAAGCTGGAGTCGGTATAATCTCGCCAAGCTTCCAGCCTATTCCCTCGCCCTATGGATGTGGACACACCCTGTGGTATTTGCTGAGTCAAGTCTGTATGTCTCTTCTTTCTGCATCGAGTCTCTTCTGTCCAGGTGGACTCTGTGGATGAAGGATAGGGCCTTGTTGACCAAACCCACACGGGCTGAGTAGGGCTAAAGACTGTGTCTGACGACTCGACTGTCCCAGAGGACACAAACCCTCCCAAGGACCAGTACTGACCGGCGGGCTGCTCGGTGTGGCACGTTAGGCCCAAAATCCGAGTTGTGGGCTGCACAACAGGCCGTGTAAGTCTTGAGAGAACCTGCTGATCACATCGTCCTGTTTGCCACGTTAAAGAATTCTTGAGGAGTTACGGGGGATCTCCTTAAATGCCTCCTGATCAGCAACAGGTCCTGTAGTGACAGCCTTAGAGTAGGTCTAGGCTAGAGACCCTAGTTGACAGGATCCTGTCCGGATTCTGTGGTCCTTAGATTGAGTCAATAGGTCTTGTCAGTCGACGGGGTAGAGTCTAAGTGGTGAGGAGTGGAACCGTTGCCCGATTGTGCACCTGACACCATGGTTGACACACGTAGTGGAAAGAGTACTGCCCCTTACACCCAGGCTCAGGAGCAGCAATTCGTTGCCATTCTGAGAGAGAAAAGGGAGAAGAAGGAGAAGGAGCTCCTCAAACAGGCAAAGTTAAAGGTGATAGCGGAGGAGCAGGCGGCGAAGAAGAAAAAATTGGAAGAGGAGATGCTCAGGTTGCAGCAGGAGGAGGAAGAGAAAAGAAAGGCTGCCGAAGAAGAAGCAGCAGCAGAGGAGGAAGAAGTAGAGGATGAATCCCTCAAGAGAAGGCGTAGGGGAGAGAGGAGAGACCTGTGGCACGAAGGGAGAAGATGGATGAATGGAGAAGAAGATCAGCGAGTGGGTGGCTAATTTATCGTTGGGAGAAGATGAGGAGGCAATGACGTATGTGCCTCAGGAGGAGAGAGAAGCATTTGCCATGGAGCTGGAAGCGATGGAGGACCCTCTGGACCGTCAGACCGCAGAAGATGAGAAGAGGTTGGAGTGGAAGTTGCGGCTGGCCAGAGAGAAGAAGAAAAGGAGGGAGGAGGCCAACCGGATGGCCAAAGAGGTGGAGAGGATCCAGGCATGCAAATAGGAGGTGCAAGCCCAAGAGGACACCCCTGCTAAATTAGACAAGATCCTGGGTTATCTGCAAGTTTTGAGTCAGGCCTGGCTTGAACAGCATCAGGCCAATAAGGGTCAAGATGTAACCCTTCATGCCGTCCGGTCAGGTTTTAGAGAGTTTGCGCGCGACGTGGTGACCCACGTCGGGACTGAGGTCAAAAGATTGAAGGAAGGCGCAGAGAAGTTCTACGCAAGCGCCAGTGAAGGCGCCAAAGTAGTGGCCGAAGCTGACATACGTCCCCTCAAGGAGCCCGTCAAGCATAAGTTTCCTGATTCGTATAGCGGGAAAAAGGACGATAGTTTTTATAACTGGGAGGCCAACATAAACACCTGTGTCTTTACAGCATATCGCGCCCGAGGAACGAGTCCTCGAAGCCTTCCACGCACTGAAGGACGAAGCGGCCAGCTTTGCCAGGTCCCTTGCGCGCACAGCCGATTGTGAAAACAATATGGTTGCCTACTCTAGACTAACCCTTCTTTCTACCTTCCTTAAACTCCTGCGAGAGAGGTTTGCTGACGTCACAAGAGGCGTCAGTGCCTCTGATAAATTGCAGACCATCCACTCTCGACAGTGGAGGAGTGCGCGAGCACTCAAAGCTGTCATGGGCGACGACTTGGTAGCCGTCCCAGACCACGGGGTCACCGAGACCCAGTTGGTCCAATTATTTTATCGTGCCATGCCAAAGCCCTTGCGAGGGCATTTCTTCGACAAGACCCAACAGGCCAACATCACGTATGAT